TTACAATACTATTTTTGCGTTGTATGAAAATTTTTGTTGCTCCGTATAACATTTTTAATCAAGCCCCCACCCCCCACCCCGGTCAAAGGTGTCCCTCTTTACCAATCTAAAAATCTGGTCACCTTAAATATGGGAGACAAGCTAAGAAATGAAAAATTAAGGCTTTAAAGCAGGCAAAAGATAATGGATAAAAAAGGGAACATTTCTTAAAAACAATAGTGAGATAAGTTAAAACAGAGTTGGAAGCAGTGATGGGATTCAAAAGTTTTAACTACTGGTTCTGTGGGAGTAGCTTGTGGGCATAGCTTGGAGGGGAAGGGGAAGGGGAAGGATACTGTAAAATCTCCATTCTCTCCCAATCAGCTGGGACTCAGCAGGCAGAGAATAGATGGGGGTGGGGCCAGTCAGAGGTGGTATTTACTGGTTCTCCAAACTACTCAAAATTTCCACTATCAGTTCTCCAGAACTAGTCAAAACCTGCTGAATACCACCTCTGGTTGAAAGTTAGAAAAAAAGGGATTAATGGAATATATATTTTTGCATTACAAGGTGAATTAACAATAAGAAGGAAATCTAGAATCTTAATGATGGTATTTTTGAATGTTAGAATAAATATGGTGATGGTTATAAAACAACATATTGAAATATTGAATAATCAAAGAATTGAGATTATAACCTGACATAAATATGTATATTTATAGTAGAACTATATAATCTTATTAACTGTAATAAATATGATTACTAACATTCTATTTGTCATTAAAGAAATGATATATAGAATTTGATTGGCATAAAAAAAATCACTGAAATATTGAACAAGATAATAATGAAAGATTAGAATTTAATAAAAACATGTATTATTATCTTTAGAATTATATAACTTGTCAAATATAAATATGATGAATATTATTTTATTTGTGTTAAAATGTGATTAGAAAGGAGATATCTTTTTTTTAAATATAGTGGCACAATTAAAAATTAGAAGGAATAAAAAATGGAAGATTATAATTTAATATAAATTGGTGTAGTACATAAGTCTGTTAAACACAACAAATATGATTATTGCTATTTTATTTGTGGCAAAAGGAGTGACATTTAGAATATGAAGATTGGCATAAAAATAATATACTGAAATAGCGAACAATAAAAGAATGAAAGATTATAATTCAACAAGATATGTGTATTGCTAAAATTCTATAAGATTATCAACTGTAACAAATATGAAAAATATTGCTATATTTGTAATAAATGTAAGACATTCTGGTCCACACTGTTCACACAATGATATGTTTGTAGAAAAATAAAAAGAAAAAACTTTAAAAAGAAAAAAGATGTGATGTATGAAAATTAACTGATAGTCCTGACATCTCTACAAATTAATCTAACTTCTTAATATAGCTGGATAAGAAGCAGTTAAGTCAAAATTATAGCTGTGCAAATAGATTTAAAAGATACATCTTATTTCCCATTTCCCCCCAAAATCTGATTATATATAAATACTATTGTGAACTCTGCTAGGTGCCTCTTGAAATTGTGATGGAATCTGAATCACAACTGTTAAGTCTTATCATGCTTTAGTTGGTCCATAAATATTTTAATTATCTTATGAAAACTAGCCCCAAATTTGAATTTAATTAATATTCCTTTTAAATACTGTATTTCTAGAGAATGAAAAGCTTTAAAGATATCAATTATGTTAATAGGATTAATATAAAACTATGTTGCTATTATTGCTTGTTATCCATGCAATAACTCTGGCAAATTATGTTTTTAAAACATTTAAAGAAAAACACAGAATATTTTAAAAAATGAATGATATACTGTATGTCTAATGTACTAATTAATATAATATTTTATTTGTATATACATATTATAGTCTTGTCCTTGCTTTAATATCAAAATCATATACCAAGTTTTTTGTGATCCCTTCAGTCCAGATTAGTTATACGGAAGGAGATGGAAAGATTAGGTTACTGACATTATTTTCCTATGGCAACATTAGATTATGACACCTGAAGCCAGATGAGAAAAATAATATTTAAAATTAAATTTATGCAAATTCTTCATTAATTATGATAATACTATGGCTTAAAAATCCAGAAAAAGATTTTAATAACTATCACTTTGTTTTTTCCCCCCATTTAATAGTAAAGAGGAAACATTGACAACGACTGATAAAGACATCTGGATTCATCCCAGAATCTCAGGTAGAAAGTCTCAATCAATTCAGCCTTCTGTACATTTGTGTTATAATATTTTTATAGTAACAAACATCTAGGTGAATATTATACAATAATTCAATTCCTTTAGATTCACACATCCCCCAGATTGTTTATTCACACGTGGATAATGAAAATAAATACAGAAAAGAAAATGAAGAAGAAAAAAATGATGACTGTAATGAAGATGACAAAGAAAATGAGAAAGAATTGGAATTGTTGGTAAGTTTTCAAAAACTTTTACAACAATGTTCTGCAACCTTTCTGGTTGGTAGCCTGATGAAGGTGGAGCGGGAGGGGATGGTTCTGTGTGAAGAGCAGGCATGCACGTGCACAGCAATGTTGGGTTTCAAAATTTTTTAGAACCTCTTCTGTAGGTGTGGCCTGCTTTGTGGGAGTGGCTTGCCAGCCATGTGACTGAGTGGAATTGGCTTGCCAGCCATGTGACTGGGTGGGAGTGGCTTGGCAGTCATGTTGGCGTGGCCAACTTGTAAAATGTGGTGTAACTCACTTAACAATGCTCTTGCTTAGCAACCAAAATGTTGGCTCAGGAACTCTGGCATTGAAGTGTGCAAGTCTTAAAGCTGTCAAGTTAGAAGACCTTTGCACCCCAAACCCTTTAGGAAAAAAACCCAGGGGTGTTCAAACTTGACAATTTTAAAACTTGTGGACTTCCACTCCCAGAATTCCGCCTCTTGCTCTTCATCTTGATGATGTGCGGATGGGCGTGGGGAGGGAGCTGGAACCGGTTCTAAATGGCACTGTAGATTTGTGGAACCTCTTTTATAGTAGAGGGTAGAACTGGCAGGAACCCACCCCTGGTGCACAGCTTCACTCATGCGGCCCAGTTGTGAATATGCCATGGCCTGGGAGTAGGGTGGGACCTACAAGTTGCAGACCCATCTTACAGAACAAGAAACTGGTATGACTTTAAAGTACTCTAAAATCCTTTTCAGATGCCTGCCAGAAGATGAAATCAAACAGCATTCTCTATTCTTTAATTTTCTAAAATAAATAAATATTTCTTCATGTTCCAAACAATGCACATGTATTTAGACCAACCAATTGGTTGATCAAAACGTTTCCTGGGGAGACATGAGAAAGCTAGTAGAGTTTTTTTAATCGAATAAAAAATAATTCTTCAAATTATTATTCTCTCTCCTCCCATCCTATCTTGCTAGCCTTTTATTGACTTACCTGTGGACATTTTTTTTGTGGATATTTTGAAGTTGGGCACAACTTCTTATTGAGTTTTGCAAGTATAAAAATTCAAAAACTTGTGTTAAAAAGCAGCAGGGATTTTATATTGGATATCCCAGAAAGACAATTATGTGTATCAACTCAAACTATATATTCTGTATGTTTCCTCAGCAACCAAAGGATTGCAATCTTCTTATTGAGGACGGTTGAGGAATAGTAGCTTGTAGTGCATGAATTGTACCCAGGCCTGACATTTTTGGGAGGGAAATTATATCACTGAATTTTTATAATTTTTCAGTCATTTCTCTTCAAAACAATAACAACTGAAAATTATTCAGATTTAACATATCAAGAATGCTGTCACTAATCTCCATACCTCCAAAATTCAATCCTCATTCTTGGAAATCATGGCCCTGTCTACTTTGATGAAAGATTACTGTATACTGTACTGGATGGTATTCAACCATCCAAAATGATTTTAAAAATGACTAATCTGTGGTCACCAAAACTTGGTTTGTTTCGGTTAGAAAATATTATTATATATTCCACAAGAGGAAGAGATTTCTCTATTTCAACAGTGGTGATAAGCATACTACATAATTTGCCAATACTATGTTACTATCAAAGTTTTCATTATATATTTGGTGTGATTAAAGGATGTAGGATGTTTTGAAACATTTTATTTTGTTATCTTTCATTTAACTTATTTCTCTTTTATCACAGGGTATAAGATAAGGTGACCAGATGTCCCGCTTTTGGTGGGACAGTCACGCTTTTGAACAATTTGTCCCACGTCCCGTGGAATTTTTTAAAAGTCCCAATTTTTAGATGGGCTTTACAATACTTGCAATGAGGGTTTTTACCCAGGGGCACATCTGGCTTTTCCAAATGCCCTGGAGGCTCCCGGCTGTTTCACCTGCAGCAGCTGGGCTGCGGCTGCTCCATCCCCGGAGGGGGATGCAGATGGGGGGGCGGGCTGAGTGGTCTCGGCCCTGGTGCGATGCCCCTCCCAGCTCGGCCCCATGCTTTGCACATACGTGCCTGGAGTGGAGGTCCCTGTGGAAGATAGGGCATTGCAGCCCACCACGGCAATTGCAACAAGCCCGCCAGCTTCCCCGGGCAGCATGGCCGCCCTGCTCCCCACTGCCCTGCCTGAAATGGCTTTGATCGGGGCAGCTCTGCCTCACCTTCTGACAAAGAGGCAGCCGGTGCCTGGGAGCTTTGCTTCGGAAGGAAGCGGGGCCGGCAGAGCAGGTGGGCCATGCCCGGGGTCGCAGCCTGCGGGGCTTTTACAAGACAAGGACAATAAAAGGTGCCCTTCTCTTCCCTTCCTCCCTTTCTCCTTCCTCCCTTTCGCCTCCCTCCCCTCTTTCCTTCCCTCCCATCTTTCCTTCCTTCCTTCCTTTTTCTCCCTCCCTTCCTCCTTCCCTCCTTCTCTCCTTCCTTCCTTCCTTCCTTTCTTCTCCTCCCCTCCCTCCAGCCCAGAGGAGAAGCAGCTGCTTCTGGAACTTCTTGAGAAGTTTCCTTGCCTGCTTTTCTCCTTCTCAAACACTTCCAATGACTGGCCAAGCTCTCCTCTGGAGTCTCTTTCTTCTGCCTGGGAATGGAATGGGGGGGGGGGTGTTATTGATTAAAACTTTTGCCACCTGGTGCTGCAGCTGAGGTGAAGCTGCCAAGCTCCCGCCGGCACCCCCACCCGTGGCAGTGGCGCTTCTCCCTCCGCTTGGAGCACCTGAGCTGGGTACCACATTACCCCTGCCCCCTCCTCCTCCGCCGTGCTTTTGAGGAGCCACGAGGCTGTGGGAGCCAGTAGGAAGGCAGCGGAGGGGGCGGGAGCAGGAAACAAAAGGCCCCATGGCTTCTCAAAAAGCACGGCGGAGGAGGAGGCGGCGGCAGCAGGGGTAACGCGGTGCCCAGCTCAGGTGCTCCGAGCGGAGGGGGAGGGAGGCAGCACCACTGCTGCAACGGGCAGGGGCGCCAGTGGAAGCTTTGGCAGCTTCACCTCAGCCGTAGTGCTGGGCAGCAAAATTTTTAATCAAGAACACTGCCACCACCCTGTCTATGGTGTCCCACTTAACCAATTTTAAAATCTGGTCACTTTAGTATAAGAGACAATTTGAAACAATAGACGAATAATAACTTACATTCTTATTTTTCTGATTTCTATTATTGCATTTCTCCCCCTTTTTAAGTTTTACAGTTAGGGAGCCATACATAGATGATAACTAATGGCTACTCAACAGTGATTGTTTGTAGGCTCCTAAAAGAGCAAAGCAATGATGTTGCGAGTGAATCTTTTCAGCATTTAATAATTAGATAATTGCATAAAATAATTTTAAATGTGGCATGATGCATAGATTGGTTTTTTAAAAATTGTTCCTTGTCTAGAAGCTTTGCTTTTGAAGAGAATAATAGTGGGGAAAGCTAAGTTATTGTTTTTAAACTCAAAAATTGCACCTGACCACAGATACCACTTTTCAGATATAAAACACACATACTAAATTACACTATTTTATAAAGAAATCTATTCATATTAAACATTATTTTTAACCTCAATGCCACTTATGTTTTATAAATGTTATTCAGTGGGTTAACCTGCATTTTATGAGAAGGAAAAATGGGATAGTTATATACACAAGTAAATAAGCAGGAAATATAATGGTGTTTGTGAGTGAAAATATAAAATCTGAAACACACAAAAGGATATGCTAAACATTAGCACCACACAGCCATTTTGGGTAGAGTAAGACAATTCTTCAGAAAAAAGCCCAAAGTTATCTTAGCTCTAACTTTAGGAGAGTTTAAAGTTGTCATTCAGAATGGAGCTTTTACTGCCTGAATAATCAGCATTGAAATATTATTATTTTTTATTAACAAGAGAGAAGCTATGAAAGTCATAACATTCTCCAATACAAGACTTAAGTACATATAGATTTTTTAAAAATCTACTTGGTCAAAGCTCAGTCCAATCATTTTATGTGCTGCATAATGAATTAAACAATAGAGGTCTATAATAAATGGAAATGCAACCAAATCTTTGAAACCCATAGGCAATGGCTCACACGACAGCTCGGCAGTTGACAAGTAACATCAGCCTTATGTGAGAAGGGGAAATTGTAAGATTTGCATATAATTATTGAAATCATGCAAATGTCAGTTATAAGGAGGAAGATGGGGGGGGGGGGGGAGAAACAGGCATCTCACTATTAAATCCTGACAGTTGGCATCACTGAAAAGCTCAGATACATTTGAGGACTAGTTGGCAGAGGGTCATTAAAACAGAATTTGCAGAAACATTAGTTCCTTCACTTTTCTTTGAGTGACGTTTTACTATTAATAGTTTGCAGAGGCTTTGCAGAAAACATATTAATAAGAGACATTGTAATAGGGATATCTGCAGCAAGTGTAATAAGGGAATATCCAAGTTGCTACCTTCTAATTGATTGGCATAGAACCATCTGTCTATGCATTTGAAAGCAAGGGAAGAATGCCAAAAGGAGCAAATGCTATTGAATAATATAATTTAATATTGGGATGATACTGAAGAAACATCTTTGTGGCCTTTCCTAACTCTCAGTTTCTACAGTTTCTAACTAAAACATTCCTGTCTGAGGGGTCTTGTGAGAATAAAATAAACATAATCCTTATAGTATTTGTCAGTGTGCAAATGTGTCTTTATTTTACTGGACACTCCTGTACATTCTTTAGCTTTGATGTTTTGTGTCACTGCACTCACTTTAAAATAAAGCATGCCTAGAATGGAATGTGCTATCTGATTGAATAAGTTTGCCTTGTACAGAATTTTCTCTTCAGGATTCATTTCTCTGAAACATACTTGAAGCTTACTGAGCTCATAAATAAACAGGCTAAGATGGGGACAGGCATAAAGAAGAAAAGTGGAAATTTATTTTTTGCCTCTTATAGTATGTTTGTTTGTTGCCCTTTGTGACTGTGCCTGCACATGTACTTAAAATGCAATATTCATTTTGTAAACAGCTTGGAAGTATGCTTTCTGAAAATGGGTTTTATTGGAAAAAAGATCCTTCTTGAATTGAACCCCTTTTCATGTGTGTGTGTGTGTGTGTGTGAGTGGGGCATATAGTCTATTCACATACACATTCACACATACTCTTATTCTATTGTTTCAGCTAAGTCAGCACTTGACTAGAAGCAGAAGTTCTTCAGTGAATGAAAGGAGTTCCTATACAACTGAGCCAGTGAGATTTCCAAATGAACTACAACAACTGGGAGACAAACTAGAGTATGGCTTGATTAGACAACCTCTGCCTAGAAGCTCTTCAACAGAACATGCTTTACCAGACAAAGAACTGCAGAATAATCAAACATATTCCATTGGAAATGATAGGCAGTTATTACTCCCAGAAAAATGCAGTGAGGTTGACTCACTAAATAAAAGTGCATCCTTAGAGTGTTTGCATCCAAATGAAACCTATTCCTCACCAGAATATTGGTCTGAAATCAAGAAAAACCAGACTGCCTATTTTCCAGATATTGTCTCAAACAATTGTGGAATGCATCAAGCATATGTTCCAAGTGATAAATTTAAGAATGTTCCAGGAAATAAAACAAAAGAGACATTATTCATAGGTGAGGATGATTATAACTTCAAAAAAGCAAGGGAGACGATTTCCTTAGAAGATGTTGAAGCAGGGAAGTTAAAAGAAAATGCACTGAAAATAAAGTATAATAATATCAAAACAGTTCAGGAACAACTTAAACAGGAAATAGCTTTCAAAATTCCAGAGTTAAATTCAGAAAACTTCATCAGACATGAACCCCAAAGAGAAAAAGCTGAAAGCAAAAACAAATTATGTGTAAACAGAGGTTTAAATAGTGATGCCATAGCTAATGCTGATGTCACAGAAAATTATTTGGTAATCTCTTATTCAGAAGACATCGTAGAAGAAAAATATAAGTCTGAGTATGATGTTGATAAGGAGAAAGAAATCATGCTGAGAATTTTAGAGAACTCTCCAGAAAAACAAATATCTCCTACCAACAGATATAAAAAACATGTCTTATGTGATAATTATGAAATCAACAGGCTAACTAAGTCACCTCAAAGGGAAGAAGTAATGACTTCCAGTGTCCCAGGTGAAATAAAAGAAGAGCAAATGTCAAAATCAACAGGGCTTACATATTTAAGTGACAGTGGAAACTCAGATAAAAATAAAACAGAAAGCAAAAGTTGTATTATAGATGAGTCAAATTCTGACTCAAAAAAAGAAGAAATTAGAATCCCTGAGAAAGTTCATAATACACTTTGGGAGAGCCAATCCCATGTTGTACCACTAGTTGATGAAAATATCTTTGTGCAATCTATATTAATAAAAACAAAGGAAATGTCTGGTGGTAGTAGAAAGAACTTAGAAAAAAGGAAGTACAGTCAGAGTGATAATTCAGCAAACAGAAATATTTCTGAGATAGAACCCCACCACAATGAACCTGACGTGGTTATTCTTAAAGATCAGAGTACCTGGGACAGATTGATGATTCAAAGGTGGAATGGCTCAGAAAGTCAGTTGGCAGAAAGGCAAAGTGAAGCAAATAAAAGAGTGCAGATGAAGGAACTAACAGGAGTTGAAGCCATGGGGGGTATTAATGACAATACAAGATGTTTGAAAGTAAGTCCCACAGATGAACTATTTACCTGCCAAGATGCACTAAGGTATGAGGAGACTTCAGTCACTAAGCATGTTAGTACAGGAGAGACAGAAGCAGTTACAGCTGCTTATATAATTAAAATGACATCAGAGAGCATTCCTGAAAAAATGTCTGCAGGTGAAAAAGCAGTAATTGTTAAGCTACCCCAAGAGATTGCACTAAGTGACAGGCCCACAGAGAAAAAGGAAATAGTATTTGATATACATGAAGGAAGAAATGATGGGTCACATTATCCTCTTTGTCAATGCAATAGAGAGGGTGTATTATGTGACACCAAATTTGGAATATCTGCTTCAGGTATTAATAATGTGCCCACATATGAAACAGTACATATGGAAATGATTTCAACACATGCAACAAATGAAATGTTTGCTAAAGCAGAACATAATTCTGTAAATAATTCACCATCAACTGAAATGTTTTGTCCTTTTTCAGCAGAAGGAAAAATTGTTTCTGAACAAGGGATGCATTGTGAAGTACCATTGAAACATTCAGAACATTCTTCACAAGGCTTACACAATAAAGAAGCTGAAGAAGGAAGCATCTGGAGTTCATTTTCTCACATAGGTCCCACAACTGAACCAAAAATATGCCATTTGGATGAAAAATTGGTGGGAAGCTGTTATAAAAACTCCTCAGTGATATCTACCAAAGGCTTGGTAAGCCCTCCTACTGCTGAAGTAGAAGAGATGTTGCCTCCACCCACAGAGGCTTCAACTAAAATTGAAGCTCAATCTGGATGTAACTTCAACCCAAAAGATGAAATAACTCATGTTATTCAAAATATCATTAAGCCACAAGAATTTCCTCCTAGTGAGAATAGAGAAGGAAACATAGGCCAGTTTCCCCATCAAACAGAGTTCAGTCCAGAAAAACAAATAAGGCCTACAATTTTAATTAGGGAACCCACTGAAGAAACAGAAGAGACAAACTTACACTCGGAAGGTTTAATAACCAAAAAGAAAACGAATATTGTCAGACACGATAAACAAGCTTTTTTTGATCATACAGGAATGTCTGGCCAGCAAAATGAAATTTATAATTCACCTGCTGAGTGTCTTGTGCTAAAGCATATTGCTTACAAGATACTTTATTTCCTTTTGTTCATTGTATTTTGTGTAACATTGTATCATTATGATTTAATTGTTTGCTTTGTACTTTACTTATTTTCATTGTGCTGGCTATATTGTGATGGTAGGAGAAACAAAAACTCCATCAAAAAGGAATAGTATGAATATTCCACATTGTATTTAGAATTTATTATCTGCATGTTCCAAAGAGTAACAATGTCTACTCTTAAAACCAAAATAAGACTCATTTCCTCTTTTCAAATACTGCTTAAAAAGAATGCACACAGAATGCATATGTACTGTATATGCCATTCTATACAGGACCATTCTGTTTGGAACATAAAGTATCTACATGAATTAAGAGTTCTGCAGCATATCAACTTATATTAAATCTGGTTGCTGTATCTTAACCCATTATGAAGGTGTGACACTGCAGTCTGTTCTGGTTTGATCGTGTTTATTCATTTTGTAGTATAGTCTCATTTTCTGTGAATTTAAAAAATATAAATATATTTAGCAATATAAACTAAATACTTAATTTTTTTAAAAGAAAGAACACGCTAATAAGGCCTGTTAATACAAGACTTTCCTTTGCTAAATAGTTGGCAATTAACATCACAATGGAAGATGAGAAGAAACACTCCCATTACTCTTCAGCACATGTTGCCTAAGAGTTTTTTGTACCTTTATATGAACCATGCCTTTTTTCTATTCTGCCATATGAAGACATTTAATTTTTAAGAATTAGTGACCTAAATTCAAGCTCTCCTTCATATTCAAATTCTGTTATTTGACCATATTCTTAATATATTAATACATTGAAAAATTGATTTGTGCATGGACTAGTACAATCAGTGAGAATTAAAAACCACAAGGAATGTACTTCACTTGCTAAATCTATTAAATCTTATTGTCCATCTTCCTCAATCTAGTTCCTGCCAGATACACTGGACTTACAAAATCTTAGCTAATATGACCAAAAGCTGGCTAGAAATTCTACAAAGTACTAAGTTGGGAAACGTTGATCTACTGTTCTAATTTGTGAGTGGGAGATTACACTTTTTTTCAAGGTAATGAATTAAATAACATTAATAGCATGCTGTCAGCTATAGAATGCAAAGTAATTATGATTTATGTATAAAAAAATATAAAGTTAAGCAAGAAAACCAGGCTCCCATACTTATTACAGAATTAATACAGACTGATACATACTAAAGGATAAAAACTGGAGCCTCGCTGTTTTCATTTGTTTGTATTTTTATAAATGAAGACACTGTGATTTTCTTTTCTTTTCTTCCACATTATTCCAGTTAGTTGTTTTGAATCATATTATTTGGACTATGTCATATAGAAAAAGCAAAGCCAATGAACATTGAATAATACTAATAAAGTTTGACTGTCTTGGTTGTATGTGAATTTTTCAAATTCCCAAATGAAAATAATAAAGTATAACAATTATGCTGTATCCTATACAGCTATGGAAGATTAATTTTGATCAATACTGACAATTTGGACCTCCCAGCTATAACTAATAAAGAATTTTCATAGCTTTCATTCACTTTTTTAAAATTATTTTTAATTATCAAGTTATACTTTATGTCTTTGAAGACATAAAATAATGGAAATGGAAAGAAAATAATATTGTGATTCATCATCTTTACAATATATAAGCTGCAACATCTGCAGTACAACATTTCTAATGCTGTAATGTTTGTACAGTGAAGCTTATCTCCTATTAAACATGCAGATTTATGTCATATTGAGGAAATTGTCCTAAATGCAAATTATTTAGAGTCAAACAATCATTTTAGTTTATCCTTATAGATCAGTATAGAAATGTTTAATTAGAAGACACTGTGCAAAGTGTAAAATGAGGCAGAGATAGAATATTGTATAGCTGGTATCTTCATTCTCATGAAATACACTCCAAAATTGATTATGATGAGTTTGATTGGCCCAAGTTGTCCTACATATAATCTTTAAGAATGTCTACATCAGCTTCACAAATCATTTCATTAGTCCATAGAATAATCAAATCTTTTATAATATTCAAACCTAGTAGCTAAAAAATTTCAGAGGACTTTAAAACAGAATTCTTATATTTCTGTATTGTTTTATAATACTATTATGTATCATATCATATTGTTACATACAATAAAAGCAACAAGACTTATGAAGCCTCCATGAAATCCCTAGGATTTGCCTAGCTGGAGTCCAACTGCACATAAAGTGTCTTTATCCACTAAGTATTTAGAATATTTCTCATAACAATTATGCATTTACTGCCCAAAATAACCGCCCTTTTATTGCTAATCTATAATTGAGCTATAGCCCGCAATGGTCCTTTCTCTCTACCAAATAAAATGGATATTGTGCTAAGACATATCATAATATTGTCAATAGATACTTATAGTATTTCTGATTGGAAGGAAAATGTACTTTTAATTATATCAAGTGTAAAAAATAAGGGATGACCTGTCAGGTTCTCTGTATATTATGTATATTATATTCCCGATACACTGAAATATTTTTATTCAGGGGCATTTGGCTTTGAAAGACCTTTGCAGCAAAGTGAAGCAAGAGTACTCATATCTAATGAACTAAGTGCCAGAGCTCACTGTAATAACATTGCCAAAAAGGCATTAAAAGTTGTTAATCTAATCTTGCGTAATTTCTTCTCTGGTAATATTGTACTACTAACCAGAGCAAAGAAAACATTTGCTAGAACAATACTCGAATACAGTTCATCTGTCTGGAATCCGCACTGCATATTGGACATTAATACAATTGAGCAAGTCCAGAGATATTTCACAAGAAGAGTCCTCCACTTCTCTGCTTGGAACAAAATACCTTATGCTACCAGACTTGAAATTTTGGGCTTAGACAACTTAGAACTATGCCACCTTTGGTCTGACTTAAGCGTAGAACATAAAATTATCCACTACAGTGTCCTACCTGTCAATGACTACTTCAGCTTCAACCATAACAATACACAAGCACACAATAGATATAAACTTAAGGTAAATTGCTACAAACTTGATTGCAGAAAACATGACTTCAGCAACAAAGTTGTCAATGCCTGGAATGCACTACCTGTCTCTGTAGTTTCTTCCCCAAACCCCAAAACTTTAACCTTAGATTGTCTATTGTCAACCTCACCCCATTCCTAAGAGGTCTGTAAGGGGCGTGCAGAAGCGCACCAATGTGCCTACCGTCCCTGTCCTAATGTTTTTTTTTATTCGTATCTATTTCATGTATCCAAAATCATGTTTATACATATATGTACATGCTTGATAAAATAAATAAAATAAAAATAAATAAATAAATAAAATAAAAAATAAATTATCAAATCGTTATCCTTATGCAAAACTTCCTTGCATGAACAGAGCACATGTAGAAGTAAGATCTAGGAATTGTGCAATCTGATCTGCATTCACAGATTTTTTTTATATGCACTTTCAATATTTAGAAATAGAATAATATGTAATAATAGATTTTGCAATAATAGATTTTTTTTTCTGAAATTGTCTATCATTTTGAAATCTAGGGGTAAGTAATAGACATTTAAAAATAAAAAATACCAAATCTAATGAGTCATTTGGATATAGATCAAAAGCTGAAGGAGAGAAGAGTGCAGCTAATGTTCTACAAGAAGCACTGAGACTGCAAGAGCGACTAGCATGACAGCATGTCTAAAAGCCAAATTTAGGGAAGGCTATACTTTCTTCCTTTCATGTGATAGCTGAAAACTATGTTGCCATTTCTGTCCTGCAGCTTTGACCTTTGCTTAAATCAAATGTTGAAATGCATTGTAAAGCCCAAGAATAACAACAGACTGTGTTACTAATTTGATAATGTGAACACTGCTACAGAAAATAAGTGTTCAGACAAAATTGTACATTTAGTTTAGAATTATTGAAGATCATAAGGCTTAAAAGTGCAAGAAATTCAACACTAGCAAATGCTGCCATGACCTTTCAGACTAGCTGATATGGTTGAATGACCACCTGCAGCTGTATGTCAAGGCATAAGGGATGCAAATACACAAGCAAGCACAGAATGCTGTATACGTCTGTTGCAAAACATAACAGAGGCTTATGGGGTAACACTGGATGGCTTCAGAGCTTACTTCTTCCTCTTACTATCAATGCATGTTTCACATTCCAATCAGCTAGGTTTATAGTTTTCTTTCTTTAAATTTAATCTCTAATATTTTGGGTTTTCTTTTACAAATTAACCCTTAATATTTTCATCTATTTCAAAGAAGCCACATTCCATTAAACCTTCTCCCATCTTATTCTTGATTTGTAGGACATTGTATTCATAGGAAATCTTCATATGTGCAACCTTTAGACCATAAATATAGCAAATGAAGTTTTTCTCTTGTCTTGAGACCAATGGTGGGTTCCAGATCCCGGTGCAACCAGTACAGTACAACGGGGCCCAGCGTCTACCACATGAACGTGCGCAGCATGCGTATGCATCCTTACCTCCTGCAATGCTCCACAATTCCTCTGTGATGCTTCAGCTGCTCGGCAGAGCGTTGCACAGGTGCCATATGCTCCGTGCTCATGCACAGAAGCGCCGCAGAGCTCAAATACAGGCAAGGATGGTGGGCAGGTGGGCAGACAGGCGGGCCCTCCAGAGCACCGTATCGGAACAGTACCCAGTGCTCCCGGCAGGCACTGTACGCCCATACCAGGGCGTACCGCCTGCAACCTGCAACCTACCACTGCTTGAGACATACAAAAAACCCCAGCCTCATTAGGCTTAAGAAGTTACAAGTTTCTGGATTAAATTTAAGCCAACTCTTAAAGAAAGTATATTATTGAAATATAACTGAGAACATCAAGAAACATATTTTAAAAGAAGTCAAAAAAGTGATGTGTTCAATATTTAGTAAAATTAGCAGCAATTGCTTGCTTTCCAGTTATGAATGCTCATTAAACAATTCTGTTCACCCTAAAAATATTAGAAGCAAAACTGTATTTAAAACTAATAACCACAGCAAAGTTTTAGTGTTAAACACTAAAGGCAATAAACTAACATCAAATGAAAAAGAAATAGTAATTTAAAAAGTTGTACACTACTCTTATTTGTTTTCTGTGACATGATTTATTTAAACAACAAGCGAGAAGCTTTTCAAGAGCTATGTTTAA